ACCTGTGAAACAGGACCAGACCCAGGTTAGGGCATGACCCAAGAATGACCATGCTTCTGCTGCTGAAATAGCCCTCTTAACGCGTCATGCTAAAACAGTGAAAGGGCCATCTCCTGTCTACTTAAGCAGGGTTTCCCAGCCTTGGCCCCTTGAAGACGGTTGGACTTCTTCATGGCTGGCTGGGGAATTCTGGGAGTTGAAGTCCACCCGTCTTCAAGTGGCCAAGGTTGAGAAACACTCTGTTAGATAACCTTGTTCATTTGTTTCTCTTTTAAATGGGTTTAATAGGTTTATTAGGTTTAATTGTTGTTAGCCTGGATGGTACATATGCATCAGGCAGGACGAAATATAAATGTTTATATAAAGTAATGCATGCATAGCTTTTATTAAAGACAAATTCTTTCTGCCTCGATATGAGGTTGTGTGAACTGAGGTCAGCTTACTGTAAAAATAAATAAATGGCATGAAATTTCATCTAATTTCTCTGGATCGGCCAAATCCCTGTTCCCAGCTGAGGATGTAATTTGCATCAGTCAAGAAAATGGATTTCATGGCCTCTCTTGCGGCCGTACATTCACCCAGCCCTCAGATCCCTGGGGGGGAAATGGAGGATAATTCTGGAAAAATGAGACGATGGGAAGGGCTTGAGAGGTAACTGAATTTGTAGAGGAAGTACAACCTGAAATTTGCAGGTGTATTGAGACAGAAAGGTACAGCGCGGTGCAGTGGTTACAGTGAGGGATAAATGCTATAGAGAACTTAATTCAAATCCTCATTTAGCTTATCCATGGCTCGTGCTGGATGACTTTGGTCCTGATGCTGCTGCTCAGCATCACCTACCTCACAGGGTTGTTGTGAAAATAACAAGGGAGGAGAGAAATTTAAAAGAAACACCACTATTCTGACTTCATTCTGTGCCTGATGTCTCCTGCCCGTTAAGGTCGCCAGCACAGGCCTGTATTCAGGGACTTCTCTCAGAAGCATCCTTGGGAGGGTCAAAAAAGTCAAGATGGTGGCCATGACCATGCAATCGAAACCCTGCTCTTTTGCACACATTGCACATTAAAACAGACCATTGCCCACCATCTTGACTTTTCTTCCATGGATGCCCCGCTTCTCAGTTGTCCCAGAGTTGTGGAACATTGTCTCTGGGGTTGCTCCTTAGAGAAGGCCTTTGAGAGAGCCTCAGAGGCCCATGATTTTTAACCTGGCTTTTGATAATGAATCGTTTGTTTTGATTTTTAGTCATTTTATTTTAAGTAAAATAAATAAATAAATGTGATTATTGTCCCCAGGAGCTGCATGTTGCTTCTAACTTTTATTGGTTCCTTTGCTCTAATGCACCAAAAAGGTATTTATTTTAATGCAATTAAATGATTTCAATTTTAATAGAAAGGGCCCTGAGCCATTTAGGAAGGGCAGGGTAGACATGGAATAGAATCAGTGACGACTGGCATAATAAATCAGGGTGGCTGCTTTTCCCTACCTATTGAGTTTCTTTATTTTGGTTCAGTCATGTTATTGGGGGGTCTGTCCACACAGTATGGTCAAAAAAGTCAAGATGGTGTCCATGGTGAGGCAACTGAAGTTTCGCCTGCTTTTTATGTGCATTTTATGTGCATTATTATTATGTGCATTTTAATGAGCATTTATGGCAAGTTACAATGGGCAGAGCTTCGCTTGCAGCACCGTGGGTCCCATCTTGACTTTTTTGACCATGCTCTGAGAACAGATCATGCAATAAGGTGGGTGAATTTTATTTGTGGGAGCCTGAGGGTAGGAATGAGCAGAAGACCTAAAGACAACGGGGACTGACGGAGTTTGATTCCACCTAGGACGATGATCAAAGACATCAAGGAGATGGTCCCTCTGATGGGGAACAAGAAGCCGGGTCCTCGGGAGACTCCGCCAGCGGCCGACCAGGACAAGAGGGCTGCTGAAGGTGCCCCCGCCAAGAAGAGGTGGGTTGTCCATTTCCTTGCACAGACCTGGAGGGAAAGTTGGCAGGTGGACCTGGCCCACCTCAAAGCTGCCAAGAGACGCTGGGGACTCCCAAAACCATCTTGGTTGAAGACAGCACTGGACAATCCTTGCTGATCCCTGGGACCCGTTTCCCGTGTCACTGGCTCAGTGAAGGGGTTCCTGGGTGGTGGGGACATCCAACACATTTCATGGGCTGAGTCGGTGTGGTCTACAATGGCAAAAGCCCATGTCTATCTTAGTTTATGGTGGCAAACAAATCAGGAGTCTGGTAGACCCTTTTCCAACGAACCAGTTTTATTGGGGGGTTTTGCTACCAGGCTCCTGGTTTTTCAACCTGGTCAGCTAGCGATAGAGATTTCACTGGAGCGGTTTTGCATCAAGTTAATCTAATTCCACCCCCCAAGTCAGTCTTGTCAGAGGGATACCAAAAACTTATCCATTGACTAGTTTTGCTTTCCTGCCTCCAGGAAAAAGAGATGGAGAGAAGGAGAGGCTATATAAAAAAAAGGGAGCCGCTCCATCAGTGTTTCTCAACCTTGGCCGCTTGAAGATGTGTGGACTTCATCTCCCAGAATTCCCCAGCC